CCCCCCCCTTCCTTTGACTCTGGTCACCAGTGCTGCATTTCACAATAACTTCTTTCTGACTATCCTGCGATTGTCACATCAGAGCCATAACCTGCCCCCTTCCAAGGTGGGACACCTACCCACCCCGTGAGACGGCAGGACACCTATCTACCGCTTGAGACAGCAGGACACCTACCCACCCCATGAGATGGTGGGACACCTACCCCCCCTGGTGAGATAATAGGACACCTACCCACCCCATGAGACGGCAGCGCACAATACAATGTGCCGTCCTCGAACTCCTTTCTGGTGACTTTGCAGATCACACAATGACTTTCCTGTGACTGATCGGCTTGTGATCTGGAGGCAGGCTCGTATTTTCTGGTGTCCGTAGTTCTAAACTTCTTACTCTGTTTTTGTTACAGTTATCAGAAGTTCTTCTGCACACTCTTGTTTCTTCTTCTCGCCTTTCCTCTTAACCCTTTTCAGTTTTTATTTTCTGATGATTTTTTTTTTTTTTAATAAATGTTTAAAGTTGATAACTGGGCATTTATTAAACAATGTTGGTGTTTTTATTTTCACAATTTTGTTTATTTTCTTGTTAGACAATTTGCGTGTTTTGTGTAAGTGTGTATAGCTTGGTGTGTTTTTGGTAAGTTACTTTGTAGGATGTGTTTTTATTTATCTTTTTGTTAACCTTTTCCCGCCAGTGTAGCGCATATATATGATAGCACGGCAGACTGGGGCTTTACTGCCGAGGTGCCACATCTATGCGTCCATTGGGGTTCCCCTGTTGAGGAACTGACCAAGCTGACACTGATGGCTCCCAGTTGCTGTAAAAAATGGGGAGCTGGCAGGATGGGCTGACGATCATGTGACGATGGTCACATGATCAGGACACCACCTACCGATGCTAAGACCCAGTATAAAGGGTGGCAGCAAGGGGTTACAGTGCATCCATAGCCAAAAATTTTTTCTTTCCTACTTTGGGACACAATAGGAAAAGGTTAGAACTCCTGTCAGGTTTTACTGCTACCTGGGGCTCCGTTAGAGAGGTTTTCTCTCACTTCCTGTCCTGGTGACACCTCTTTTACCAGGCAGGAAGTGAAAGAAACTACGCATCAGGGAAGCATATGGTAGTAAAAGGCTGACGGGTCGTAGCATTCCTCTACTTGACGAAAAAAAAATGAATTTTTACTTTTGTCTGTGTTGCTGTTCTGTAGCGTTTCCCTTTTTGCTTCCTGTTTTGGTAAAATTGTGACACGAACAGGAAGTGAGGATAATCTCTCTAATGGAGCCACTGATAGCAGTAAAATCTTACGGGTTCTAAACCTTTCCCACTCTATCCAAAGCTAGAAATAAAAAAAAAAAATAGGCTCCAGATACACCTTTTAAGTATATCTAAAGCAAAAATTGTCTGCCTTTTGGATAAAGTAAAAATGTGTGTGTATTTGTTGTTGTTTTTTTTCTGTGTCTTGTTAGGGAGATCCCCTTCGCTGCCTGTAAACGTGAGAGGAAATGATCTCTCGGCAGTCACCGGGACTGGTGTCCCCATTTTAAGACTTCCCCTGTATGGTTGTCCTGGTGACCACTGATTTCTCATCACTCTGCCTCACTGTCAGTGGTCACCAGGACAAGGAGAGGGTGATTCCCTCCGATTCCAAACCTCCCCAAACAAACAAGTTCTGGCTTCAATGACGTTACATAAATGTACAGATGTGTTCAGGAGACATGCGAGTATTTACACAGTATCGGAGTGCTTGCTTTGTGACGTAGTTTGCGGTGTACATGTCCTCTATGACGGTTATCCTCTTGGCAGGTTTGTACTCCAGTCCTTAAAATGTACTTCCATGTTTGCAGTCCAATTTGAGAAAACTGAGGAGAATTTATCAAAACTAGAGCAGAGAAAACCAGGAGCAGCTGTGCACGGCAACCAATCAGCTTCTCTCTTTCACTGTCAAATCTTAACTGTACAGCTGCTCCAGATTTTGTCCAGTTTTGATAAGTTGCTCCCATAAATGTTTATGTTCCGCTCACACCGCTCACCGTAAAATTGGAAAAAAAAAACCTTTCTAGTTTCTTTAGAGTATGTTCTTCTATAGGACTCTTCGGGCAGCTTGTCACTGTGTAGAATATCTTTCATTGTGCAGTTAGGGGACAATTATTATTATTATTTTTTCTTTTTAAAGTGCTGCCTCTAGATAGGCAGAACCAGCTGTCACTCACGCAGCTGGGTGGATCCAGACATAATTAAGGGAAATAATTACCCTAAGGATCCAGACATAATTGTCGGGATCCGCTCCGGCGTCTCAGTATACCGTGAGTTGTAGCTCGCGGTATACTGAGCTTAGGGTGACGGGAGGACGCTAGTTTGTGCCCTCCCATTACCCTAAGGAGAACTATGGGGAAAAGCCCTGACCTCATAGTTCTCCTTTAACATACATTGGGGGAAATTTATGAAAACTGGAGCAGACCGTTGCCCATAGTAACCAATCGGCTTCTTTCGTCAGTTTGTTCAGTTAAAGAACTCTGGGGGGGATCCTTAACCCTTGCAGAGGGGCTACCGCAGCATAGCAAGGGTTAACTGGTCATTTTGGTCTAGGGAGAAAAATAATTATCTGGGCCTGCCAGCTCTGACCGCCTTCCCTTGAGCCTGTCCCCTCCTCTGCTCCAGCGATGGTATGTCCCTCATGTCCTATACAACGTGATGATTCCGGAACCTTCGATTGCTGCAGCGGAGGGGGAGAGGGCCCGGAAGGACCGTTCTAAGAGCAAGCCGGCTCTGAGGATCAGGTGAGTTGAACTTTTTTCTTATTTCCCTCCTTTTCCTTTTGTCAATAAAAAAAAACAAAAACATTTATCTGGAGTTGTTCTTTAAGGGTAGATATGTATAGATAATGGCAGATCAATCTGTCGCTGCTGCGTCCTGGTTTTTGACACACAGCACGTCACGGTTTTGTGTACTGAGTGGGTAAAGAGAGAATAGTTTTTGTTGCCTTTTAGCAACCGAGATGCTTTTCCCTTTCATACTTCACTGGAAACTAGGGACGCACTGATACCGGTTTTTGGTATTGAGTACAAGTACCGATCTTTATATTTGTCGGTACTCGCCCATACCGGTACTTCCGCTAGTATGGAGCCGGCTTACCGGTGGTGTGTCATTATCCACCGCCTGGCTTCTTGATTGCCCAGGAAGCCGGCTCTCATGCTGTTTGGCCAGCTCGATGCTGATAGGCCGGGAAGCCGGCTTCTCAGCCAATCCGCATCCAGCCGGTTTCCTGGCCAATCAGGAAGTCGGGAGGTGGGTAATTATCCGCTGCCTGGCTTCCTGACTGGCTGGGAAGTTGGCTCAATGCCAATCAGGAAGCCAGGCAGCGGATAATTACCCGGCTCCATGTTCCCTTGCGGCACTTCCGGTCAGAGGAAATCTACTTCTGATTGGAGGTTCCGGTATCTGGGAACATATCGGAGCATTTGGCCGAGTAGGAGTACTCGCCCCAATACTCGGTATCGGTGCATCCCGACTGGAAACGCATTGGGAGAGTCGTCTGGTTCTATGGTTGAAAGCTCCGCTCTTTATGTGGATGTCAATGAGATCTGGCAGAAGAATGACAAAATGGCTCCTGTTGGACATCTAGTCAGCTGAGCTCCCTCTCCGATCCCAGAGATCCCTGTTCATAGAAGATAAATCCAGCTCCTCTTAGTTATTACCATTTAATTTGCCTGATTCAGAAATACTGTAGGTAAGGGTTTAGTAACCTATAGCAAGCTGGTAAAGTTCATGGCTTTGGATGGATATCAGGTCGATGAACTGTATTGTATGGAAGTTGTGGTGTGGGCATCACAGCTATGACCATCATTTCTTTTCTGCAACTTAAGGAGACAATGCAGAGTAAAGTGGCAGTTGTCTCTGCAAAGGGCCCGCTGTAGTTACTTTGCCAGTAATTATTATACAGGATTTATATAGCGCCAATAGTTTGCACAGCACTTTACAATATAAGGAAGACATTACAGTCACAATACAATTCCAGACAAGAAGGTAAGGATCCCCGCCGCTCCTTCTTCTGCCATAGTCAGCAACACTTTTGGCACGTCCTGGGTATGGAGGAACATGTGACTGTGCTCAGGCCTAGCAGCCAATCGCTAGGCCAAAGCACTGTCACATGACATGACGTTACTAGTCAGCAACAGCGGTGATTTTAGTGCCAGCTGCAACGGAGATGGGAGTTGCAAGGAAGCGCAAGCACGGTGAAGGGGGCGTTGCAGACACTGTCACTTTGCCATCTCAATATAGCTCTGTAGAATACAATATGGCCACAACTAGGAAGAGTGATACCAAAATACTCTTCTGATGGAAACCCTAACTGGATGAACGTTAGTTTGCTAAAGCACGGTGTATCGTAAACAAGTTAATTTCCACTCCAGTGCTGCTGATCTCCTGGAGCATGTTTGCAACCTCTTCCGGTCTACATACATTCCAGCAATGGCTTCATGTCCTTTTCTTGGAAAGTGTTCTTGATGGTGACAACAGTGGACAATGCCAGTTTTGTAATGTTCTTTGAACCAACCAATTGTAGTCTCCATCAGAAACCCATGCATGATAATGCAGGAATACGTTTGAGGAGCTTTGCCCGCCCTCCTTCCCCCTTATAACAAAAAAGTGCCTGAGCAGGGATCTTCATTGCAGAGACCAGCAGGTATTTTAATGAAAGCTGTAGATTGAGATTCTTTAATACTTCACTCCTTTTTATATTCAAGGTGGGTTTCTGAGGAAAAGGTTGATGATACGTCTGATTATTAATCCCAAAACCAGAGATGTGTGTAGGATGGACTTTACTCTTGTATCCCTTGGATGTGAGCCTGTACTATGCCCATAGAGTGCAAAGCAACCGGTTCCTTTAGTCTGGCCGTACACTATTCATGTTTCTTGTTCCGAGAAGCAAAGGGAGTTTCTCCTAGTTTCCGAGGTAGAGGTTTCCCCCACTGAGGTTACTGGGTTACAAAGTGCTTTCCCTCCCCTCGCAGGTAACATCCTTAATAAAGTTGGTTAGGAATTCAAAGGGCATGCACAAAGACATTGCTTGCCTTGTTCTCTAGATGAATTACCGCAGGAGAATGATTTCCATCAACACACTAAAGAAGGACCAGGAGGAGAGAGGGATCCATCAGGATAGATCCTGAGACATATCTTTTGGAATACATGGCCAGGGTCTGGACATGGTTAGAGGCCAGGACCTGTGGGAGAAAATAAGACCTTAGAAAAGATCCTGTGGGTCATAGAGCATTGGAATGTCCTCCTGGTAATGGCAGGATCCACTAAAGATCCCCACAGGATCCCTCCGTAATTGAATATTGATGGACAAAAGATTTTTTCTGGACTCTGCCAATCACTGTATAAGACTGGCTGTAACAGTGAATGCCCTGGATAAGGTTGGGGATTCAAAGAGAACCCAGTCTGGCAACCTTGTGCATGTCTGACGCAGGTCAAGGCATGCGCATACTGCGTCAATAAGAACAGAAATGGAATCCTTAAGTTTTGGTGCTGTGTAAGCAGACAGACCTACTCCTCATGTGCCATGTCATCAAATGCAGGCAAAGTACCCTTATCATCTGCTTACTGTGCAAAGGCAGCTGCAGGTACTGGGAAATTGGAGATGGACCCTGGAGCAGATAGTGTGGAAGAACAGTTGTGGCCCCAGTGTTCTGATTCAGCTGAAATCTTCCCCTAAATTGAGACATAATAGCAGAGAATCACTCCCTGGATAATACAGAGGAGGGAGCAACCCCAGAAGGGGTTAGAGAGAGCTGAGGAGAGCAGGGACGCAGGTAAGAAAGGGTTATCGGGGATCTGTGCCAGGGTGTTTAGAAGGCACACTGCAAGGCATTCCTGAACTGTTTGTGGCTTCCCATGTCACCGGTCAGCCTCCAGAATGGCCACTGGACAAGGGATCAGCATCTTTACAGGTTAAGTGCACTTAAAGCAAAGTGCATTTTTCCTTTTTGCACCCCCCTCCCTGCACAGACGCATGCTTGCCTCCATTTGACTGCCTTGGTTGCACTGTGTGTTTACATCTAGAGCAACACGCTTTAGTGTCCTGTCTGTGCAAGCAAATTACAGCCCCATACACTTCTTCTATGGTAGCGTCTCCAACCTTGGGACATAGCCCTATAGAAGTCTATGGGCACCAATGTGCAGGCATGGCCAGGACAGTGAATACTTGCACCACTGGATGTAAACAAACTATGTCTGTTGGATCAAGGTAAGTGTGGATCCGTGGAGGGGGCATTAGGTTGGGTCACGGATGGGGGCACTTATCCTTATCCTGTCTTGAGCAGGGAACTGACCCTGGAAAAGTAGCAGCAAAATGATTAACAAAGGTGAGGGTGGCACAAGAACGGCCAGCCAAATACACAAATCTTTGTTAGGTAAAAGAATACAAAAATATCTCGTCTGTAAGTTTAGAGGTTTTACTTTTAAAAGCAGAATTGTAGGGTTTTGTTTTTATTCACTTCCTTCCTGTTACATCAGTACATGAAATAGAGGGACACATTTATTCTAGGAACAGGGGTGGACAGACTGCACAGAAAATGGTGCCAGACATTGTAACCTTTCCCCACTCTAATGCTGCTGACTTGCCATACCCGGGGGTCCCTGTAGGGAACAACCTGATTCACATTGCTGGCTTGCCATACCCGGGGGTCCCTGTAGGGAACAACCTGATTCACATTGCTGACTTGCCATACCCGGGGGTCCCTGTAGTACAGGATCCCTCCGTAATTGAATATTGATGGACAAAAGATTTTTTCTGGACTCTGCCAATCACTGTATAAGACTGGCTGTAACAGTGAATGCCCTGGATAAGGTTGGGGATTCAAAGAGAACCCAGTCTGGCAACCTTGTGCATGTCTGACGCAGGTCAAGGCATGCGCATACTGCGTCAATAAGAACAGAAATGGAATCCTTAAGTTTTGGTGCTGTGTAAGCAGACAGACCTACTCCTCATGTGCCATGTCATCAAATGCAGGCAAAGTACCCTTATCATCTGCTTACTGTGCAAAGGCAGCTGCAGGTACTGGGAAATTGGAGATGGACCCTGGAGCAGATAGTGTGGAAGAACAGTTGTGGCCCCAGTGTTCTGATTCAGCTGAAATCTTCCCCTAAATTGAGACATAATAGCAGAGAATCACTCCCTGGATAATACAGAGGAGGGAGCAACCCCAGAAGGGGTTAGAGAGAGCTGAGGAGAGCAGGGACGCAGGTAAGAAAGGGTTATCGGGGATCTGTGCCAGGGTGTTTAGAAGGCACACTGCAAGGCATTCCTGAACTGTTTGTGGCTTCCCATGTCACCGGTCAGCCTCCAGAATGGCCACTGGACAAGGGATCAGCATCTTTACAGGTTAAGTGCACTTAAAGCAAAGTGCATTTTTCCTTTTTGCACCCCCCTCCCTGCACAGACGCATGCTTGCCTCCATTTGACTGCCTTGGTTGCACTGTGTGTTTACATCTAGAGCAACACGCTTTAGTGTCCTGTCTGTGCAAGCAAATTACAGCCCCATACACTTCTTCTATGGTAGCGTCTCCAACCTTGGGACATAGCCCTATAGAAGTCTATGGGCACCAATGTGCAGGCATGGCCAGGACAGTGAATACTTGCACCACTGGATGTAAACAAACTATGTCTGTTGGATCAAGGTAAGTGTGGATCCGTGGAGGGGGCATTAGGTTGGGTCACGGATGGGGGCACTTATCCTTATCCTGTCTTGAGCAGGGAACTGACCCTGGAAAAGTAGCAGCAAAATGATTAACAAAGGGGAGGGTGGCACAAGAACGGCCAGCCAAATACACAAATCTTTGTTAGGTAAAAGAATACAAAAATATCTCGTCTGTACGTTTAGCGGTTTTACTTTTAAAAGCAGAATTGTAGGGTTTTGTTTTTATTCACTTCCTTCCTGTTACATCAGTACATGAAATAGAGGGACACATTTATTCTAGGAACAGGGGTGGACAGACTGCACAGAAAATGGTGCCAGACATTGTAACCTTTCCCCACTCTAATGCTGCTGACTTGCCATACCCGGGGGTCCCTGTAGGGAACAACCTGATTCACATTGCTGGCTTGCCATACCCGGGGGTCCCTGTAGGGAACAACCTGATTCACATTGCTGGCTTGCCATACCCGGGGGTCCCTGTAGGGAACAACCTGATTCACATTGCTGACTTGCCATACCCGGGGGTCCCTGTAGGGAACAACCTGATTCACATTGCTGACTTGCCATACCCGGGGGTCCCTGTAGGGAACAACCTGATTCACATTGCTGACTTGCCATACCCGGGGGTCCCTGTAGGAAACAACCTGATTCACATTGCTGGCTTGCCATACCCGGGGGTCCCTGTAGGAAACAACCTGATTCACATTGCTGGCTTGCCATACCCGGGGGTCCCTGTAGGAAACAACCTGATTCACATTGCTGGCTTGCCATACACGGGGGTCCCTGTAGGAAACAACCTGATTCACATTGCTGGCTTGCCATACCCGGGGGTCCCTGTGGGAAGCAACCTGATTCACATTGCTGCCTTGCCATACCCGGGGGTCCCTGTGGGAAGCAACCTGATTCACATTGCTGCCTTGCCATACCCGGGGGTCCCTGTGGGAAGCAACCTGATTCACATTGCTGCCTTGCCATACCCGGGGGTCCCTGTGGGAAGCAACCTGATTCACATTGCTGCCTTGCCATACCCGGGGGTCCCTGTGGGAAGCAACCTGATTCACATTGCTGCCTTGCCATACCCGGGGGTCACTGTAGGGAACAACCTGATTCACATTGCTGACTTGCCATATCCGAGGGTCCCTGTAGGGAACAACCTGATTCACATTGTACTCTCTCCAGTTGGGTCTGTCAGCTCATATTTCAAGCCTACAGCCTATCTAAGCCCAAACACAAAAATTTTATTTATTGCGGCTTACCGGTCTCTAGATGCATTGGCTGCATTTATTTTTTTTCACCTGGTGATCTGGCCAGTAAGTCTGTCATCTTTTCTTTTTCTTTCTAACTTTCTTTAACAGGCCAAGCTGTCCAGCAGAAGTGGCACTTATGGGCCCAACTATTCACCGATGACATGGATGCTTATAATGGTCATCTTTCTATTCATATAGTTAAGATCTTTTATCCCAAAAGAAAAGAACCTGTTTCTGTAAAATATTAGCTGAGGTTAGACTTTCATTTGTTAGGTACTTATGTAAAGTCCATCTACATCTACTAGTCCATCCAACACTGGCCTCTCCACAGGTTGACAATGCTCCTGTCCAAGGGTGGCTACGCTCAGTTCTCCACTGTATCCGTGGAGGAGCAATGTAGCCAGCCTTGGACAGTAGCTTTGTCAGCCTGTGGACAGGAAGTGTGTTAGTGGCTGTGTCACCAGATGGAAGTAAAGGGGGGCTAAAACAAGAAAACAAATGCAGCCACCTCATCTAAGGACTGGTAAGCTACAATATATTAAATTGCTCTGTCTGGTCCTAAATACCTTTTCAAGTGTATTTCCACTTTTGCAGTGGAATTTGGGAACACAAACATATAGAGGGGTTTTCTCATTCACACAGCATACCGAAAAATACATTTGTGGAGGAGGCCTTTGGTTAGACTGCAAGCTACTCTGAACAGTGTGTGAGGGAGTCTGTCCCCAAGGTAAAGGGGGCCGTCTGCATTCTCTCCTATTACATACAATGCTTCTCAATCTTTAACCCTTTGTTAGGACAGACAGTGCTGAAATCTAATCTACAACTGATCATGAGATCTGCCAGCACAGTACAGGCAGGGTTAATTTAGGTAAAGGTGGCCATACACTGTACAACCATCGCAAGACCTTAGTCTTGCGATGGTTGTAAAGGGATTAAAAAAACGTACGATCTGCCTATCTTGGACAGGCAGATCGCACTCTCGATCATCGCAAGCCCGCCCCCCTGAGGGGCGGGCTTCCGATGACCGCAATGCTGAACGGGCAGTGTGCGCGTGCGCACACTGGCCCGTTCGGCATTTGTCTTCCGAGCACCGTTCTAACCAGCCGAGAATCGTACGATTCCCGGCTGGTTTTCGAACATGCTGGTTCGACGGAAGACGTGCGACCGTACGGTAGAAACGGTCGCACGTCTCCGTTCACACTGCTCGATTCTCGTACGGTCGCC